TTCAAATCAAATTATATCGAGTTATGCAGCAGAGTATGGTGCTCACTATGGCACTACATGTGTTCTTTAAGCATCTGGTTCGAGAAAATGTTGACAGGTTTGGTAGGCAGTGATATTAGAGTCAGTTTTTATTGAATCTCTTCCAGCAAATGCTGTTCCTGGGAAACTACGTACAACGTTAGATTCTTTGTGTATGTGTCTAGTGTAATAATCATAATTTGCGACAATTATTATAGAAACCGTTGCCTGATTCAACTTTCTAGCGTCTTGCTCTCGATGATTATATGAATATGAAAAAGAAGATATGGCAGAGTGAGTATGTTTCACAGTGCAAATAATGTATTTAGCAAAAATATGTTCTTAACTCGCATGAGTTTGTTTATAAATTCATTATGGAATGTTTCTGCAAGGCCGTAGCCAGGGAGGGATCAAGGTGGATTGATCCCCCCCGAAAGTTCTACAAGCAACGGCCATCCAAAAATTATATCAAATACAATGATTGGCTTGTTTAAACATCACAGGAGTCATGAGAATAACACCAACCGCGGTAATGGAATTAATTACTGGTCTGTCCCCTCTGAACCTGTACGTTAAGAAGGTTGTGTTAATTGCCATGTTACGATTGCACATTGCTGGTGTGAACCTCGAAGTAGGAATGGGTCAATTGAGGCTGAGCCTATGGCGAGAAACGCATACTGCGCAACCTCTGATGCAGGCAACCAGTGATGCAATTGTACCCATGTTTGTGTTTAATAAACCCTACAAAATACAAATAAAACAGAACACGAAGTCAGGTGCTACAAATGCAATACGCATATATATAGACGGCTCAAGAACCAAAGGAAGCGCAGGATGTAGAGTGTACTTCAGAAGAGAATGGGAGAAATACCAGCGTGGTTCAAACAGAACTGGCTGGTATCTCAATCGCCACAAAAGAAATGAACAGGAAAGGAATTTCTGGCAGAAAAATTAACAATCTGCACTGATAGCAGACAAGCCCTATGAGCCTAGAACAGACGGGTTACCTCAGGGCTAGTACTAGAGTGCCACCAAGATTTAGCCAAAGCCTCGGTAGATAATGCTGAGGTGGGTTAAAGGGCACGGCAGGAGTTAAAGTAATCGCATTGCCGACTCTTTAGCCAAGGAAGCGGCTAGACTAAGAATTTTAGGACCCCGTGGCACCTACGGCCTGATGATTTGGACAATTGCGGAACTAGCCAAACGTTACACCCATGCTCAATCCCTAAAGAGATGGGATGAAATCAAAGGATGCACTCTTGCCAGGATCACCCTGGGCGTCCCTGAGAAGCTGGCGCCGAAGAATTATCTAGCAATGACCAGGAAAAATGTACGCTCAACAGTAGGATGTCTACTGGCCACTGTCAACTAAGAAAAACCATAATAATATGGGGCTAGTGGAAACACCTCTATGCAGGATCGACGATGACTTAGGAGGCCAACTCCTTGGGAGGATGTACAATGGGTCACACTCCCTACTCTACAGATACGCATACTATTGGAATTATGAAATCCGTTAGAAATTTTATCAAGTCCTTGGCAAAACGAACCAAGTGCTTGAAAGAATATTGAAAACAACTTTCCCGAAACACAATGGAAATATCTTACGGCAATGTGCGTACAAACTTTCAAATATCTTGGCGACACTACCTGTTTTCACATGTACCCCTGAAAGGACTTTCTCTTCTCTGAAAAGCCTCAAAACTTATTTAAGAAACTTCACAAGCCAGGAACGACTACACGGTTTGGCGTTAATGTCAATCCACCGTGGAATTGACATCGACACCGAGGAGGTAACAGATTTGTTTGCTGCAAAGAAAGCTAAAAAACTAAATTTGATTTTGTAAAAAGATATTAATATTTCTGTAATGGTTTTCTAATAAATTTATGATCGTGTAACACAATTTTCTTTCTTTTGTTATTTTTATATTTCATGTTTTTCTACTGTTCCATCAAACCAACCCCCCAACCGAAATTGTTTTCTGGCTGCGGCCTTGTGTTTCTGGTGTAATTTAGTTAGGAGCACCTCTTATTTTAACCGTGATCTCTGGAGTAGACTGCGGTTGTGTAATGTAAACTTTAAATTTCACCAATCCTCACAAAAATCCAAGGGTATCATATCAGGTAACGCAGCGAATTATTCTTAGGGATAATAGGGACTTCACAATTTTTTTTCACGATATAATAAACTATGATATATTTCATAAACTACAATTATAACTAATACACAAACTGTTGTTTTAGAACAATACATTTATGTATTTATCGAAAATTATTCATTTTTTGATTCGTCCTTCATGTGTATATATGTGTATGTGTTTATATGACTGTGTGTGATTGTATTTTTTTAGGTGCATCTTTTTCTATGATGTTCCTTGGCATAAGTTTCACTCATCAAGGCTTATGTTAGTCCACTCAGAAATTTGATTCTTATCATTTGTGTATATAGTAAAATATGAACAAACTTATTTTATCTTACCTGTCCAGTGGTTTGGATAATTGTTATCTAGCCACTTCCAAACCAGCTAGTTGTAATGAAGAGGTATCTTGTATAAGTGGAAAATTCATTCCAAAGCGGTAAGCAGACAAACGTGATTCCCTAGATGAGCCCACTAAATCACCTAATATGACACTTCTAGATGTTTTTGAGGAAAGAGGTCACATGTAAAGTGTACTCGTGGATAGAAATATATATTGCAACGGTATTATCTGAGGAAAATTCCATAAAGTAGGAAAAAAAATGTAAAGAGACTTCATTATTGTCAGGGAGCGGAAGATAAATATAGTTAATATTCATTGGAATGAACTGAAGTGGTGTTTGAATATTTTTATTCTTGAAATTATGATATTCATAGTTTCTTTGCTGACGAATATAAAACTGCTAATTATGGAACAGCAAATTTTATTTCCAAGAATAAAAAAGTATTGGATAGAAAATTGAAATACCTATCAAACGAGTTATCACAAACCCCCCGTTTCTATTAAGACAAAAAAGCTAATCTTCTTCTTCTTTTTCCATCAATGGCTTCAGCTGCCAGGGCTATCCAGCCAGGAGTTCCAGGATTATGTTGCTACTACAGGTGGAGCCCACACTAAAGTGGATCGGAGTTGGACCCAAACCTCACCTGGTTTTGCGCTAAAACAAAGTTCAACTGTAGTTTGTTAGCGCCATATCGGTGACGAGTGATGCATCACTATTTTGTCTTTTATATAAAAAAGTACTAAAAATTATACCTTTCTCTCTCTATGTTATTGGATTTTGCTTCCATTGAGGTGCATTCAGCCAATTATACCTTTTTTTACGTAAATTTTGTCTGACCTTGATATCACTGCATAAGCACTTTCAGTGCTCCTATTGGCTCAAATTGGCGGAATCAAATATTCCCGATGTACAACAATCTTGAAAAAAAAAGGGCGAAACAATGAATTACAACCGCGACGATATGATTAAATCAATTCGAACGGGAATAAACTGAGTGCAAGATCATTACAGAGATTTGCGGAAAGGTAAATTGGTCACGAACAATTCCATATTTTGGGTGCATATACCTTTCAAATGGTTTTATTTAGTGTTCTGCGTCAAATTCCTTCAAGATACTTGTATTTTTCCTAACTAACCAAGTTGAATACTTTCATTCTAATAACTACGAGAAAAGACAAAGACAAAATACATGCGTTTATTCAAACAACTAACCAAGATACATGCATTCATTATAAATACATTTCATTTACCGCCCAATTTACCTATAGGATTGAAGGACCTTTAGGGCTCTATGCTATCGACAGATGACTCAATCCAGGTATATCGAAGATAAACGAAGTTTTCAAATCCAAGCTTTGACATTAGCCGTCTATATTTTCTGCAGATGTCGCTGCGAGGCCACTTGTTTCAACCAGAGCCCAGAAACAAAACACTTGTGATCCAGCACCACACGGCACTGTTTCGGCCAACCATAGGTCTCATCAGTGTTTCTGGGCTTTCGTTTCGACTTTTTGTCCTTGCAGAGAAAGCTGCATAGAAAAGCAAAAGACGAATCTCTTTTGGCGAAAGATGTCGAAGCTTGACTTTCAAACGGGCCGCCTTTGGGAGACCTCTTTACTTTCTTATCAAAAAGTACTAAAAATGATACCGTTTCACGAAAATTTTGTGGGATCTTGATATCTTGTTTCGTTCAAAATTTAAAAGAGGGGGGGGGTACGTACGTACTATATACATTTCCATTGTTTGGATAATAATAAATATTGACTGGCCGTTGGTCTGTGAAAATTGACGCCAACAATTAATAAAAGATGAAGAGATTCACTTCTTGGCTTTTAAATTACTTATACACTCAACATCAGATACATCACGATGTTTTACGTGTTGCATATTTCTATGTGAAAATTTTGAATTTGATTCGTAATGTTGCTATGACACAGTAACCAACACACTGTGTGTGTAAAAGTGACGTCATGCCCAGTATATATATTATCTATAAAGTTGAGACTATCAGACCTAGGAAACCACTTTGCCAAAAATGAAACTAACTTGTAAACCCTACAGGCATTATGTAGGGAAAGAGCTCAAGGACAACCATCCAAATTCAAATACCCAGGAAAAACTATTTGGGAAAACATCAAATCACTCTCATAAATTATAATTTTTTTTGTCAGAAATATAATGTACCCCAAGTCTATTACGTAAGCATATGTAAAAATCACTGCAAATATTTAAAAATTGTACACTGGCTGAAGGACTTCGGTTGATGGTCCTTTGGTATTCACCAATAAATTAATTTATTTTATTTTGAAAGAATTGAATTATTCTGTAAAATATTTGTACATATTACCACCCTTGTAACGCTGTTAACATTGATCCATTTCATTATGAAAAAGTGACTATATGGGATTCCAAAAAAAAAGAACTGCCATTTTTTTCTTTTCCAGCCTGATCTTTTATTATTAGAATATTAATGAATTTAATCTATCAATTAGTAATCCCATATTTTAATCAAGTTTATTTGTAATTGTTCAAATACAGCAAAAAAATAGATATATTATCTGCACACTACTTATAATGAAAAATATCTTTGAAAGCATTTTCATCAATACTTGTTGAAATTTTCAGGTATATAACCTTATTTATTCATTCAATTTAAAAACATCAAAATTAAAAAACAATATTTAGAAGTCATCCTGTAAGCTCAGCTAATCATCTAAGGAACAAAATATATCATTATCACAGTCATAGCCCAATACTTAATTTCTACCTCTTAAACTAAATCCTGTTCCGCTAAAAGCTTTAAATTCCTCACTCTCTTCGATATCATCACTCTTCTGCTTGATTGGTCGCCTGATAAATTTCAAAGTCCCGATTTGGTAGTCATAATCTGGTATACCTAAAAGTAAATTGTCGATTACATTATAATAAAAGATTAGTCTATCAGTGAGGATGACAGTGTTCCATGCAAGTGAAATGTTCAGCTTTCATTTAGTATATTGTGTAGAAATCCTATGAATGATAGCTGATTCAGTTCCATAACGAATGTTTGGAATACAAACTGAGTAGAGAAAAGTGTTTTTTTCTAGTTTGTGTGAAAGTTACTTCTTTGCATGATCTACACATATATGTAAAGATTAGTATCTTTTCAATATAAATCAATGCTAAGTAATCTGCTATTCAACGAACCTCTGACATAGACGGGTTTGGCTGATGCGAAATCACTAGATGTGGAATCTTTTCGTTTCTTCCCGTCCAAACGATTTCCAGTTCCACGAAAAGCAACAAACCCAGAAGGCTCCGGCATCAGCTCGGCAGGATCCACTGCGGTTTCTTCTTCTTCTTTCTTCCTTTGTTCAGGCTCTTTATAACCCACGGGAGCAGCGAATTCAACCTGTCAAACAAATTATCTGTTAGGGACATGAACTTCACAAAAAAACAATTGAAAAATAAAGAAACGATTATTCTTGAAAAACCGTTTTTAAAAGTTTCACCCCTAATGAGGGGCGTCTGTCTCTGTCAAATTTGAGTACAATATTTTCACAAAATTGATTTCAGTTGAAATTCATTGAATTCAGAATGAGTTTGTGAAAGGCTTCTAGTCAAAGTATATACAGTACGTGCCAACTAAGATGAGTCAGAAACGTAACATTGTTTTGTAGTAACAGACTCCGCCCACTCAAGTCATATTTAGCCAATGTACTATTGACATCAGTGTGTGTGACCAATAGCTATCTTCTGGGGCGGGTACAATTTAGTTTCAAATGGGCATCAAAATCTCATCTTTGTTGACCCATACTACACCAGATGTTCATAGTGAGAAACCTTTCATGTCTTGATGAGCCTACTTACGTTCATGTCACATTCTATAATGCTAATAGCGTCTCCAGGTTTAGTTTCCAGTACACACAGCTCATATGCTTTCTGATTGTATTTAACTGCGATTACATCCCCTGTAGTGAGGCAAGCAAAAGACCTCAAACAATTTTCCAACACTGCCTTTGGATTTGTGATGTCAAGAAAATCTGGATTCAAAGGTTGGAACTTTGAGAAGGTTCCAACGGGCAGAGAAACACTTTCCATTTGTACCAAATCTCCTTCTTCAAGTACCAAATTGTGCATCATCTGAAATATAATAAATATTTACCAAACTGGTAGAAATGTGTGTATAACATTACTGTGAATAAAATGAAGTACATACCCAGAGTGGTAGATAAACTTTGCCTTCATCAGCCACAAACTCCAAAACACCACAGTGAGTGACTCTATTAGTTTTTTTGTTAACAAGTTTAAATAACATGGGGTAATTTATGTTCAGCCTGGTCAGCTTCTCAAGCGCGGAAGGTGGCATGATAACTGAAAACTAAGTTAACACAGAAACACTAAAAATAAATAGAATAGACACTGCTTACTTTTTCCTCCTCTTTCAACGTCCTGTCTTTCATTTCCAGGTAGCATAGCTACAGAGAAGCACTGATATGTAATGTTGAAAGGCCTCGGAATTTCCGGAAACATGTTGAATCCAAATTGAAACTAAAAAAAAAAATTATGAAGTACAACTGTAGTCACAAAAGTTACAAAATCCAGAAGATTGTGTAATGATATTTGGTAACAACTTGTAATAGATGTATTTTTAATTAATATCTATGGATTGGCAGTACAGTGTTTGTCAAAATGACTTACCATTTTTCAAAATATCGTCAAATATATTCAGAGATAAATGAAATAACAATATTTTTACTTCTTAACCTCAATCATTTCTAAGCTGTCAGTGTCAGTCAATGAAGTCAGTTCCCAATTATGCTGTCAAATCATACACATCGAAAGGATGAGTAGTTCTATGATTCTTTCTGTCACTATCAACGGCAGCAAGTCATGACGTCACCAAACGTAACAGGTAAAGATTATTTAAAAGCATAGAAATGACGAAGTTCTGATATTTTCCCGATACCATTTGAAATTTAGTGCAAATATTGGATGTTCAACAATAGTTGATGAAAATGAAATGTAATGTTATTGAAGCCAAAAACCGCCTCTGATCAAGTCCAATTGTGAGACGTCTAGTTGGAGTCTAAAATGAAGTTTTTACTCCAAGATCAACTTTGAAAGGGTGTTATAGACGTTAATATTGAAAATTATATCATGATAATGAATTGTATATAAACACCAGAAACCAGTGATAAACCTTCCAATCGTAAGACATGAGCAGAATAACGAAACGATTTCAAATGTCAAACCCGAAACATTCCCCCATTCCATTTCGCCAATCCTCAATTCCTCAAGAGATGTCGCGTAACTCGCATATTCAAAGGTTAAAAATAAACAGTCTAAAATTAATTTTCTTTAGAACATTTTTAGCTTTTCGAGAAAGTACGAGTTTATTCAGATGAAATTAATACATAATTTATAGAACCCCGAGACTGAATCCAGAAAGTGTGTCATATTCATAACCTAAAAAGTAAAAAGCTACAAAATGTGTGCAAACGAAACTGAAGCTGAGAAATACAAGGAAGAAGGAAATGAATCGTTCAAGAATGGCAATTGGGAGCAGGCAATCAAACTATATACCAAAGCTATAGATACAATAGCTAGTGAAACACGAAATATGTCTATTTACTACAAGAATCGTGCAGCAGCATATCTCAAACAGGAAAACTATGACGCCGCTTTGGAGGACTGCGAAAGGAGCCTTCAAATTATTCCATCAGATCCGAAGGCCTTATTCAGAAGATGCCAAGCATTAGAAGCTTTGAAGAGATATGAGGAGGCCTACCGAGACGCCACACAAATATTCAAAGACGACCCTGCAAACAAACCGATTCAACCTATACTTGCTAGACTCCACCAAATAGTACAAGAGAGGGCAAGACAAAATGCACAGATGAGCAATAAACTAGAAAGTATGATGAAAATAGTATTTGAGTTGAGTGAATCCATAGACAAACGAGAAACTGCCATGAACAACTTATTAGTATTGGCCCGAGATCAAGCTGGTGCTGAACTGATGATAAAAACCACAATCGTTCAACAGATCAAAAAATTACTGAAAGTGGAGAAAAACAAAGAGATTTTCATAACTGGAATAAGAGTAATTGGTGAATTATGCAAACACAATGAAAAAAGGACTAAAATAGTTTTAAAAGATATTGGACTTCCTTGGTTCTTAGAAATACTTGATAGCAATGATGAAAAACAAGTGAACGCTGCTGAGCACTGCATGCAGACAGTACTCAATGCATTTTCTGGTATGGAAAATAAACCAGACACAAAGCCAAAAAAAGAACTTGTTGAGAAAAACAAAAACAACATAGACACCTTGCTATCTTGCTTAGTTTACTCCGTCAACAACAGGGCAATATCGGGCTTAGCAAGAGATGCTATAATCGAACTTTTAATTCGAAACATAAATTACGATCAGTTAAACTGGGCGGAAAAGCTCGTTGAACAAGGCGGAGTCGAAAGACTGATGGAATGTGCCAGTGAACTAGAAGAATATAAATACGAGAGCGCTATGAACATTACCCCCTCCACTAGAACAATTGCAGCTGTCTGCTTGTCAAGAATCTACGACAACATGTACTATGACAAATTGAGAGAAACATTCATGGAGAAAATAAACAACTTTCTGAAAGATAAATTACTCACTCCCGATATTGAATCAAAAGTTCGTGTAACAGTTGCTCTAACAGCCCTCTTGAGAGGCCCCCTAGACGTAGGAAATTCAATTCTAGGAAGGGAGGGGATCATGGAGATGATTTTAGTGATGGCCAACACTGAAGATGAACTCCAACAGAAAGTTGCTTGTGAATGTTTAATTGCGGCAGCCAGCAAAGCCGACAAAGCTAAAGCAATCATTAGCCAAGGGGTGGACATTTTGAAAAAACTATACAAATCTAAAAATGAGAATGTCCGCATCAGAGCTTTGGTTGGTCTATGCAAGCTTGGTAGCTCAGGTGGAAGTGATGCATCCCTTAAGCCATTTGCAGAAGGATCCACCCTAAAACTTGCTGAAGCTTGCCGAAGATATCTTCTACATCCTGGAAAGGATTCTGACGTCAGAAAGTGGGCGGCTGAGGGTCTTTCATATCTAACTTTAGATGCCGAAGTTAAAGAGAAATTGATTGAAGATAAGCCTGCTCTACAAGCTCTGGTTGAACTAGCCAAGACGGGAGATCAATCTGTACTCTTCGGAGTCATAACAACTCTCGTGAACCTATGCAATGCTTATGAGAAGCAAGAAGTAATTCCAGAAATGATAGAGCTTGCAAAATTTGCCAAACAGCATATCCCAGAAGAACATGAACTAGATGATCCAGATTTCGTTACAAAACGTATTCTTACCTTAGGGCATAATAACGTTACTACTGCGTTGGTTAGCTTATCGAAAACAGAAAGCAATAACTCAAGAGAACTCATATCCAGAGTATTCAATGCCTTGTGTAGCGAACCAGATTTGAGAGGCACTGTCGTAGCTCAAGGAGGAGTGAAAGTCCTTATAGCACTAGCACATAAAGGGACTGATAAAGGCAAACGGCAAGCTGCTCAGGCTTTAGCAAGAATTGGAATTACAATGAACCCCGAAGTTGCATTTCCCGGACAGAGAGCATTGGAGGTGATTCGCCCTTTGATATCATCTCTACATCCTGACTGTAGCGGATTAGAAAACTTTGAAGCCCTCATGGCACTTTGTAACATTGCCCAAATGAATGAAGCGGCAAGACAGAGGATCCTCAGAGAAGGCGGGTTTTCCAAAATTGAACATTACATGTTTGAAGATCATGAATACTTGTGCAGAGCTGCCACACAGTGCATGTGCAACTTAACCCAATCTGAAGATGTCATAAAAATGTTTGAGGGTGAAAATGACAGGGTAAAATATTCAGTGTCCTTATGCTTGGACGAAGATAAAGATACAGCCATGGCAGCTGCTGGTATGTTGGCAATCATCACAGGTGCGAGTGAAAAGTGCTGCGCAAAAGTTTTTGACTCTGTGAATTGGCTGGATGCGCTTCATTGTCTTTTAGCCAATCCTCTCCAGAGTATGCAATATCGGGGAGTGTGTGTTGTTTATAACATAATAAGCGCAAAGAAAGAATTATCTGAAAAACTGATGGAAACAGATATCATGGAAATTCTAATGGCATTATCCAGACTTCCTCCATATGATGGCAGGGAAAATATTGTTGAAATTGCTGGTAAAGCACTACAAGAAGCTGAAAAATGGGGTGTTATCAAAAAGCCTGAAGAGGACAACTAATACCAATCTAACTTTCATTTTTACAATAGGTACAAATCTTTCAATATTTATTATGGCCTATGTACTTAAACCTTGTTTCGGTTGATTAAGATCTTCCTCAATTTGAAAAATATTCGTTTATAAGAACATGAACTTTCATGCCGAAAGTCACGATTAGAGAGAACAAATTGTTGTTTATTAGGCTGTGGTCAAAAGAAAGGTATAGTACCAAACTCTCAAATGTTTACGTCTGCTACAGCAGCAGTTATTCGTTGACAAAATTTAGAAACACCACCTTCATCCTCACAGTCAAGGCATACACCACTGAAAATGATAGACAAAAAATGTTGTACAGCAATCTCCTCGACAACCGCCTAATAACCCATATTTTATTTTCTCTAATATTAGAAGTTATCAGAAAATGTAAGTGTAGAAGAGAGAAATACTTAATCTACCCCGATTAGTTGTTTTGCTTAACATGTGCTTTTTAGCATGGGTCAGATAAAATGTTTGCTTGCTTAGAGCGTGCTGAACAAGTCATCTATCGAGGATCTGAGCAGGGATGGTTGGCATTTTATTCATGAGTAGAACTCACTTATCAATCGGTTACCAATTGTCAATAACAAAAACTTTTTTGTTAGAAATATTGACATTACGGAAACTGAATCTGTTTACATCTTTGAAACAAGCTTTGGCTACACTAGTAAGATTTTCTAATGTCTTCTAAACTTTTCAGATTGTATAACATTATAATATACAAAGAACTGACTATATATAATGTAATTATGTATAGGAAGAGAATATATGGCCAACTTTTTTATATTTGACTGTATCACCGTGTTTTTATTATAAGGAGCCCTGGACGTGCCTTTATATAAAATTAAGGGTGAATTCACTGACCAGTTGTTAGTTAATTTTCAATAGTAATGAAGGAAAATGCTAAGGAACTGAAACTTGCTACATATGACTAGTGCGTGAATCCACCCTAAATTATTATGTATTGAATAAATAAAATTGAAGTGAACCTTTTTTTTTACCTACGTTCAATTAAATTCTTGTTGCTATGATAGATTTGGAAAACAACAGTGAACATTATTTTCAGTTCCATGTTTACTAGGCTAAATATGTTTACAAAATAACTAAAATTGTGTATTCAACATATAATATACTACCTCATTGTATGCTGGTCTATCTCTATCACGTCTAGCTCTATATGCACGTCTCGACATGATTATAATTTACAAGAACTCACAACTTCGAACTTTTCAAACTTTCCAAAACAGTTATTTTACTTATTCCTATAACACACTGTTAGGTACCACAGAACACAGAATGCAAAAACAGAAAATAGTCAAAGCAAGATTGCCAATAACGATATTGAAGTTTTGTAAATGCGTTCGGTTATTCCGCTCTTGTATTGTATTGTGAGTGAAGAAAAAACTCCAATAATATTCATTACTACACCAAAGGTTCCAAACAGTGCATCATAAGTGAAGAAGAACATATGAAAAGCAAATAAGTTTCTTTTTTGAGTGTCAAGTACTTTTCTTTCAAGGTATCAAGGTAAAACAAGATTGATATTTATTTAAAACTTGGCTCGAAATGAATATTTTGAAATGAAATCTCGAAATATCACACTGTCGGTTCTAGTAAATGCATACCGGAAAACAACTAGTGCCCCATCTAACACCACACTGGAAATTGAATGTCATTTGGATATAATTTAATATATAGCGTGGTATTAGCTATGTTCTGGCAGGCATTTACCATTATATCCGAATGTCAGTCGGATATAATTCAATATCCAGCGTATTATTAGTAGGGGAAGTAGTTGTTTTTCGGCAGGCATTTACAAGAACTTACGATGTAGATGGTTGGGAGAGATGACTATTTTGGAATATTTCTGGTATGTATGTATCTATCATCGATACAATCTTCAGACACGGTTTAATATCTGTTAGGGTATTGATATAAGGGATATTTCTTCCCCGCTTGGGATTTTGCTCACGAGATGAAGCTGTTACTAGTTAACAATCTTTCTCTTAGACGAAAGTTTCGTACAAGCAGTTGAGCCGCATTGAAATTAATCGAGTCCCAAGCACTTTGCTGTTTGGGTCGAATCTTATCCGCACTAATGAGAGGTAATACCTTGAAACCGGTCTGTAGGTGATTTTCTCGAATAATTTCAGCATGGTTCTGCTGCTGCACGGATGGAAAACATCTGCGGGACTAACCTGTCTGAGGTATCTTGCATGAATGTCTGTCGAATATAATTCAATATCCAGCTAGGTATTAGCCGATGGAGTAGTTGTTTTTACCATAACCTACGGTGTAGGTAGTTGGAAAAGATCAATATTTCAAAATGTTATTTCGAAATATTCATTTTTCTATAGAAGTATGTTTCACAATAGCAAGAACTCTCATTTATATTATATATGGTAAGAATCCTGAACCGTGAATATATTTGTTAGCTTCAGGTTATAGAGGAGACGGTACGAATGAAGAGACGAGTTCTTGAATTCAAAAGATGTCTGATGGATAGCTTCAACTAATAGTGAATTTAAGAACTCGCCCGAACTGTCATCTATTGTGTGGTTATATTTTTTATCGTTTTGTGAACGATGTTTTCGTTTTGTAGGTTGTCTGTGGCTATGCAGCGCTTGTGAGTTGGTGTTTTCAAATGGTAATTTTTAGGACTAGAGTGTTTTGCCAGCTTTTGTACGAATTGATAGTTTGTGGAAGTATAAATAGTGACAAAAAACTGAAAATAAAGAAATAAACCATTTATTTTTGTGGGTACGTATGTTGCATGAGATAAATAACAGTAACCTATTGACATATCTTAACTAGGTTAGATAGTCTCTTCCAATATGAATTTTACATACTTTCTAGGAAATTTCTACACATTCTTTCATAAATATATATGAAATTTTTTTATAGTTAGAACCAATTTATCACCAAAAATAAGTATTCTTCCATATATACACCACTGAAGACGGGGGTAATAAATCCTTCAACTTGACCCAACATTTAATTTATGTTCAGTGTTTCAGGTATAAATTATTTGACAGTTATTTATTGGCACCACTTAAGTTTGGAGTGATAAGAAATTATTTCTGTATACAACTTGCACTTTCTCTTTGCCTGGTTCAATGGTCTTTCTAATTACTGTCCTCTTGCAGCTATAAGTATTTTGATTTGTCAGTTATGCACTGACACCACTTGAGTTGGGAATGTTAAAGTGGAACCAACACTTTCTCTTGATGTGGTTGAATGATTTTGTTTGGTTTTTCATTTTCAGCCATCTTCAAAGTACATCTCATTCCAGTTCAACAGTTCTATGGACACTTCTATTCAAAAGCAATTATTGATATACTCTAAAAGATTTTTTGTTGTATCTTGAACATTTTTGGTCAGTCAATATTTTGAGAATTTCAGAATCCATTTGAGCTTGTTCCTAATTTTTTTCTAGAGAAATATATTTCATCTTTTAGGTGTAACATCCCCATAAAGTAAGACAAAACATACTGAGGTCAGCTGTTGAACTAGACTTCATTTTTTGAGGAAAAACTGTATTTTAGTGTAGGTTAGGACCTAGATGTTTCTTTTCATAGTTTATCACAACATAGTATAAAACAAACCCGCTTCCCGCTGTCTGTCCCTATGTATGCTTAGATCTTTGAAACTATGCAACGGATTTTCATGCGGATTTTTTCAAATAGATAAAGTGATTGTGGACCTTAAAAAGGTCTACAATACCTACAATGGTATATGCTTATCTCTTAGGGATAACCCACAATAACTATTTTTTTTATCCTCGAGAAATAATGGCTTAGTTACAAAGCGATTTTGGGCAATACAGCGTTAATCCTTATCCGATTAAGTTCCTCAAATACATCATGCATTTTATACATCAATATGGCCTTTTACAGCTTGTAATTTAAATGAATATTTTTGAAGATTGAGACGGTACCGGCCGGGGAAAGTTAATCAGATAATCAAAGTGAAAATTTTTAATAACACTTGAATAATTAAAAAAAAATTTTCAAAATATGTTTTTCCGTTAACGAGCTGTTGCACCCCCACGAACGACAACCATCAGAAGTCGAAACTTATGCGAGCTAAGGACTAACGAGGTCTTATCTTTTAACGTGTGATTCCTAAAAAAATTGAAATGTTTAATATTAGATAATGATTTCAGTATGTCTGCTGTAAGAGAAAAACCACTTGGGAATTCAACTTTATTCTGAATGAGATTCAATACTGCGAAATACTGCAACTGACCGAACTCATTCTAACTATTGCTTATGTACATCAGAGCCATAGAGTATTGAATAAAATTTAATGAATATATCACTTAATATTCATGCCAATGTGAAAAAGAAATTCAGTTGAAAACACAATGGGACCATAATACATACCAAACATTCCGTTTAAAACTGTAGAAGAATATTAAATGCTGAAATGTATTACTCTTTAAAGAGAGTATGAATTAATCAGTTCCATGTAACTCAATTTTAGTTACAATAAACTTTCCGATATCACTGAAGTTTTATTCCTTCAGGGAAGATGTTGATTTTTTACATCATCAAATTCTCAGTTAGAAAAAACTGAAAGCTTTTTTAAGATTTTTGAAAAATGTTCAATACAGTTGACCCAAAACTGAAAATATTATATTTGCCTCACCTCAAAATGTTAAATAGACTAAAACATAATACTTGTTTTGAAATATTTTTTATTTTTACGTTTTATAGTTTAACTAAAGTTCAGGTGTCATGATTTATTTTAAGAGAAATTTGGTAAACTTCAAACACCAAAAAAATTTTCTACATTTCTATCTTCTTATTTTTTTATCCAAATAGCAAATCTCGATTGTTCCCTTTATTATGGATTTTGAAATATCTATGTGAAAGAACCCAATTTTTGTAAATATATGCAATTGACAAAAAAATGCACCCTTTCTGCACGTTCCTACTCAATTGAAATATCATTTTCTACCAGGACTATATTACATACATGGCTTTTCTTTATAAAAAAGCACTTCAATCAAAAATTAACTTGTTTTTTTGCATCATAATGAGTTTAAAAAATACCACTTGTTTGCCAATTTTGACTATTTCACATGTCCAATAATAAAAAAGTTACTAAAGGTGTCCTCAATTTAGATCAACCTGTATATTAAAGTTTTTATAATGAATATTATCTAGCTCTATGCCAAAGTTCGAATTTCCAAGGCCAAGTGGTGTATCACTGTGTATTTTTTATGCAGTTTGCATGTTTCTGTGATTCCCTGCATATATTCAAGAAAAGTTATAGGTTATTATTGTTCTTATCTAGTTTGTCGATAAGGGATATCTCACGAATTATAGTTTTATTTACATAATTATCAGGAAAACCAGCTGAGTATACAGTGCTATTAAATTTTTGTGGAAGTGACTTTTCAAATGAGGAAGTCAGGTGTGGCAAGTACAGAATCAAAGTGATCACTGTTACATTCCAGAGTAACCAAATTTAAACTGTTTCCCATTGTTATTTGTTGATTTAACATAAATGGGGTTTTAAGCTAATCAATTTCAAAACATACAAAAGTTCCTTGAATTAGCAAATTAATCAGAATTCTAAATCAACATTTGAGAATATTATATTTCCATTGTCTATGCTGAGTATTCATGAAGCAGAATCGAAACAGATATTATTCATAGGAATGCTGCACAATGCGATATATGAAATAGTATTAGTGTAACATGTCCCTTACATGTAACATCATCATCTAAAATGGTTTACTTCGAAGTTTCGAGACGAGACAATTATCTTATCATCTCATCAGCACATTTTTTGTTTAATGCTAGAGAAGTAGAATGCCAAATTATTTTTTTGCCTATTCATAAGAAACGCTTATATAAATTGTGTATATTTCTGCATAGGTTGAGTCTCTAGTGTCTTTTGATATTGCTTGTACTTCAGCTATGCCTGTGAAAGCATTACATGATATTTTTGTTTCAAAATAGTATTTTTCGTAAATAATTTCTATAACAGTATTTTGATTTGCACAGTTTGTCGTAATATGTAATGGTTATTGTACAATTATTAATCATGTGACCTTCATGTTATTAAATCTTAATAGTCAACTCTGAGTCAGGAATACTATCTAGAAAATTTATGTTGAATGTTCAGCTATTTCCTTATCATCTTTTACCAAAACAGCACATTCATAATCTTTAAACTGTTTAAATTGAAAGGGTTATATTTTTAGGAGTGAATAATTTTTGATAAAGAAAGTTTTTGGCTTTCTCCTACTCCATCCTGATACAAAAGGAAGGAAGTAATCAATTTCCAAAGAAGTAACTCTATACATATATGTGTAGATCGTGCAAAAAAGTAACTTTCAGACATAAGGGCTTTTTCTTCCGGTTTGTGTCTGAAAAATTGCTTTTTTGCATGATCTACACATCTATGTATAGAAGAACAAGATGAAGATTTGCTCTGTGGTTTTGTTTGACAACCTTGAAAAACGTGAAAATATATAAATCTGTTTATGAAACCAGGGCACATTTATCATTTTCTGGTCGTTTTTATGGAGCTGTTTGTTATTTTGCTTTGTATTTTCGATATTCTCATTGAACTATTGGAAATCTGTACAATTTTCTCCTGTAATCTGTGCAATTTTCTCCTATAATCAGTGCAAAATGTATGTATTGGAGTAGTTAATCCTCACTCCTGATTAGTCCGTAATTTTGCTGGGTCGTTCTGATTGGTCCGCACTGTTGCTAGGTTATTCTGACTGGTCAGCACTGTTACTAAGTTGTTCCACCAATTGGTTCGCAGTGTTACTAGTTTGTTCTGATTGGTCCACGTTCATTGGCAGGTATGCTAGTGTGTGAGTTGCGTTCTAGTGAAGATGCATAGTTGTTTTTTCCAATTCGCTTTTGTTTTGTCGAAATCTCTCGACGCAAAAAATGAAATTGACCCATCTTTGTAGACATGTTGATATATGGAACAAGAATCGTTTCCAAACGTAAACATTGGTGTGCGCTTAGAGCCTCTGTGAATGTAATGCCAAAGTACATTGGATCTCTTTATTTTATGAAAAATGAGTTGTGCCGTAGAGTTTTCGTCAAAATATTCCAGTGTTTACGGCATGGTATTTCAGTACATCTCGATTATATCTATTTCTGGCCTTCTTGATTACTGGATGCCACATTCTGTTGAACTGTACACCTTTCATCCTTCACAGCTTTCCTGTGAAGTCGTGCGTGGTTAAATTAGGCAGGACAGCAGTTTCTTTGTATTTTATTGTTCCACAATTGGAAATTCCTCTGCTTGCATGAGGTGAAAGCTTAGCTTGTGTTCTCGTATCCAACTGTTGACACTACTTTTGGTAGTAACAATGTAAACTGAGTCAAAGGAACAGATAATCCTGTAAGCACCGGCGGATGTTACAAGTTCATTTTTGTCCTTGGCCGACCTGATAGTCTTGGGTAGTTAATTATTTGGCTTAAATGGTCTTAACGATTGGTACTTCAGGATCCATTTGAACATGGCTTTCCAGCCCGGATTTTAATCTCATTAATCATGACTCTAGCCTTTAAAGCCTATGTTCTCATATCAAAATTCAATTTCAGATGATTACAAAACTGTAGTAGGAGAAAGAATACCTTATTCCATATTAGGATTCAGAAACCTTGAAGAGTTTATACGGTCAGATCCCACTCTCACGTTAACTGTGAGCAATGGAGAGAAATTAGTATCTGCTTTAATTATTGAGGAATCTGCTCATATCAGTAAGATGGTAGCAGCTCAGAAGACTGGTAAAAGAACAAAGTGAGTTATTATAATTTTTCATTTATAAAATTTTGAAAGAGATTCTATAGTCGGACATTATTATTATTATAATGCACCTGCTCACTTTTCATTGCTTTCTCATAATTTTTTGGCCAAAAACAACACCGTATTCATACCTCAGCCACCATATTCACCAGACTTGGCCCTCAGCGACTTTTTCTTCCTGTTCCCAAGATTGAAGATACCCATGAAAGGACGGCGTTTTGCGACAATTGAGGAGATTAAAACTGAATCTCCGAGAGAGCTCAAGTACAAACCAAATAGTGCATATCTGAGGAGGACTACTTTGAAGAGGACAAAAAAGAAAGGGATGAATAATTGAATTTTTTTTGAGAAAAATGAAAATTCCCCTTATTTTTTTTCAACAGATATATTAGGTTAGGTTTTTTATTGATCAAGTTATTACACCTTAGTGCTATGACAAGTCAATCTAATATATAAAAATGGATGTTTGTTGGTTGATTGTTTGGTTGGTAAGTGATAAACTTCTACATCGCTCAACTGATCGTGATGAAACTTGACAGGTATAAGTAATTTTTCATAGAGAAGGTTTTTAGGCTATCAATTTTTCTGTAACTCGCCACTAGATCGCGCTGTAGAACAATTTTTTGGAAGCACTGTTCTATAACGCTGTGCACACCTAAGTTCGTTAATTCTGAGTCAGAGTCAGAAATGCTGTATTGTCATAAAAGTTTAGGTTTTGTTGACAAAGCAGGCTTAAGAACTAAAACAATCTGAAACATTAACATAAAGGTCAAGAATTTAGAACAAGATATTAATATGGCTCAAGCACACTTCAAAAAGTTTATGGTAAAAGTCTGTTAATAAACCAATTCTTACAGCTCTCCATTGGACCTATTCCAGCTAAAGATCTAATTGCTCTTTTTTGAATTTTAAATATTCTTGAGATATGAACAGATGTGCCCCAGTTTATCAATCCATAAATTAAGGAACTATGAAACATTGCATGATAAGCTGTATGGGCAGCTTCCTTACTGCTTCTAATGAAAAAATTGCAGTAGTTGTTGACTTTCTTTCCTGAAACCTATGCTGCATACACGTCAATATATTGTGTGTATTTAAAAATGAAGTAAGTCGGTCTAAGAATACATATAAATATTTTGATAGCCCATACGGGACTGTTACTGGACGATAATTTCGCATTAGAATTAATTTTATTTCATGATAACAGCTACAAATTCATGTTTCAATTGTCATAAGTTTTAGATAATTACTCATTTGATTTTTTAACTAATTTTATGATATTTTAAGGAACAAATTCAGTTACCAAGGCAGACCGGCCACGACTTCTCGCTGGCGTCCCAAGCATGCTGGGCAAAATAACAAAAAATATCACACTTCATCTCGACCCGCTGCAGTATCTCACAATCAGTTTGTCAACGTCGGTCGTGAACAGAAAGCGGTCCATTCGCAGTCGTACAGAACGGTGCACAGACAAAACTCTCAACTCAGCTCCAGGTTGCAAGTGGCCGAACCAATTTCTGATAGAAGAGTCTTCACAAACGAACATTCTTCAAAGGTGCAAGTGAACTCGTTATCGAATAATAGGAAGGAAGAGGAAGTATCGAAAATAAGCAGTTGTAGGCAGAGAATATCGAAAAAAATGTCGGAAATGAGTTTGGATAGAGATAGTGGAAATAGCAGTCCTACTGCAGATTTACCTCTAGCTGGTGGTTTACCCCAAATGCAACCAATTTTTCAGCAGCCTCTGCCTCAGGGACCATCAACTCAACAACCATTCTCTTCGATATTTCCTTCACAAACATCTGTTTATCAACCACGGTTGAATACGGTAAGTTTTTAGATATATTAGTTTTCTCCAAAGATTATGACGTGGGGCACCTTTTGAGTTTGTACAAAAAGGAGAAAAACAACCTTTTGTTATTTTTTTTGCATGGTTCGAACTGTGTAGGAACTGGGGCTGTCATAACAAGTAATTGTGCAACATTGTATGTTATTATTAGTTTTGTGAGTGATATTTAAACCGAAAGTAGTCACATATTGTGAGATTTTTACTATGAACAGTTTATAAAACCTCAACAGGTGTTTTACTATACAATAGCTCCTTCGATACAAACTGAATTTAAACTAGGTTATGCTTCTTATATATACATAGCTACAGTCAGGTTAACAAGAGAATACACATGCATCAATTTGTGTATCTGATATTAGTCAACAACCTAATGGAAACAATGTGGCTAATACTAAAAAACCTAACTTTTGCTGTAATTATGCGGAACATTAGACAGAACCATCCTCAATTTGAGGTTAAAATTTATAATCACGATATAAAATTTACTCACTGTAAAATATGAAATACTCACGATTAATTAGTTGTGAAAACAACTATTCCTATAGTACTTTATTGAAACTTGGCAATAAACAACATGTTAACAATGAAAACAATCAAACCATAGTATATGTCATCATTTGATAGCAAAATCTAGGAAATTGCCAACAACTAAGTTTTGTATAGCCTATTTTTCTTCAGTGTATTGAGTACAAGCTGTCATAAAAATAAGAGCTCAGATTGGATGCAAAAGTTGACAGTTTTGACTTCTTTTTCAACTTCAACAAAAGGATTTTTGAAGTGGTGATCAGAAAGAGTTTAGCCCATTTCTTTCACATCTCAGCATTTTCCAACAGCTCTCAGTATGAATATCAGAAAAGAAAATCTACATTGATGTCAATGATAGAGATTTTCCAGAAAATCATAGATGTCATTGATGATTAAGAGGACTTCCAAATATTGAGCTATAATTTAAGCAAAGCTTTTGATACTGTGAATCATGACATACTACTAGAGAAGTGTTTGTACTATAGAGTTGAAGGGATTCCATATAAACTGCTTGAGTCATATCTGTTGAAACATTTTAAAACGGCATGGTGGAAAACTTCACTTTCTCAGACAGTTCTAGTAACTCAACGAGTACCTTAGGTTATATTTCAGGACCAATGCTGTTCATTATTTACACAAATGACCTTCATATCATGAAACATATCGGGGCAAGTGCATACGCAGATGACACAATGGTAAAGATGAAAGCTACCTAAGACAACAGACAGAGCGAGGTCTAGCCAAGCAGATATTTGGTTTAATGCAAATATACTCATGCACACACCCAAAGGCTAATGCTATCAAAACTAAATTAGAAGGCACAAATATGTAATTTGAGTAAGGAGCTTAATTCAGCAATGTAATTTATAAGGAGAGTCTAAACAATTTGGACACACCAAGCAGCTAAAACCCCCTATATATGCAAGACGGTGCACAGGTGTCCGAGGGTTTTACTTTCTGCGCGGCATTGGCTCGGTTAGTTGTTGTTTTTCCGTCAGGTATCTGCCACAGATACCTACAAAATCATAGGTTCACATGAGAGACATGGGTAAGGTATATTCACGTGAACTTGAGTATATCATATGCACCTCTCCAGAATATGTTTATTATTCTGACTCCCACCCCGCAGTATGTGTTTGTGAAGTTGTTTCCGGACTTTGCCGATAGCGCAGTGGAAATTTCTACTGATTCAACTGCAGTTAGAGCTAGCTCAGAACTAGTTAGAAACAGTTTTGTTTGTTTGGGATATTTAGACGGTTCATTCCATCTGAAAATGACCCTCCTGGTACTCAGAAACCATTATGTCGGTGTTTATTCCGACCAAATGAAACTAGTTTCAGCTTTTCATATATTGGAAGTTACCTGCAACAAATTTTCCAAATGGAAAACGTTGCACAGGTGCTTGATGGTTTTACTTCAGCTTTCTGCGCGGCATTAGCTGGGTTAATTATTGTTTTTATGTCGGGTATCTGCCACACGTACCTACAAAATTGTAGATTCACATGAGGTTGAGGTTCACCTGAAGTTGAGTATGTCATATGCTCCTCTCCGGAATATGTTAATTATTCTGACTCCCACTCCGCAGTATGTGTTTGTGAAGTTGTTTCTGAACTTTGTCTGCAGGTGACGCAGTGGTACATCCTACTGAATCAACTGCAGATAGGGCTAGCTTATGACTGGTTGGAATTAGTTTTGTTTGTTCGGGATATTCAGACGGTTTGTTCTGTCTGAAAATGACCCTCCTGGTACTAAAGAGGAGTTAGTACTCTGGAACCGGTCTATTGGTGGTCATCCCGACCAAATGAAGTTTGTTTCAGCTTTTCATAAATTGGAAGTTACTTGGAACAAATCTTCCAAATGGAAGACATTGCACAGGCGCCTGAGGGTTTCACTTCAGCTGGGTTTTTTGTTTTTCATTGGGGATTTCTGCCACACATACATAATTTGAGTTTACGTGAGATAGATTAATAAGTCTTTTGTGCTACATTATGTAGATGGGACAGATCATATTTCTCAGGTATAATATAAATGTGTAAGATTATAAGATGTCATTTGAATAAAAAAATAACGTGACACACATTGTAAAACAAACATATACATATTAAAATATAAGTTAAAAATAGAAATAGATAAATAAACAACATGTTACGATATATACGTCACAATGACAGTGATCATCTGACATTACTAACTTCAAGTATAAATTCATCTAGTGTGTAGAAATCTTTTTCTACGCACACTTTCAACTGTTTTTTAAAAACTTGAGGTGGCAGTGTCTTCATATCGCATGGCAGTATATTAAAGAGACGGATACCAGCAGGCATAGGAGACTTTTTATACTTTGCGTGATGGTGTTTTTGGGTGATGAGCATATGGTTATTCCTAGTATAATGATTATGGACTTCCGATCTCGACTCTAGTTGTCTTCTATTTTCATTGATATATGTCGATGTTTTTAGAATAAACAAACAGGCAATAGTTAGTATTTTATTTTGACGAAAAATCTTTACATGACGTTCTCTAATCTAAATTGAAAATTAGCCTCAGTAATGCTTTCTGTTTTATGAAAATTCTGTCCACCTCAGTTGCAACACCCCAGACAGCAATGTTGTCGTAAATAGGTGATTTTCATTTTCTCGCCATTTTCAGATTTTACATCATTTTTTTAAATTTATTTTAGGTTCCAGAATTAGTTCTTACAGGAGAACCGATATCCGACTTGAAGAGGTTTGCGAAATATCACAATTTGGGTGAAGTTGACGTTTCTGTGAAGCAAGTGAAAACGAAAATGAACAGATTGTATACCTGCCTAATTAAGGTAAAGTTCAAAAATAATCTGAACTCATATTTAATCCAAACCTAAAAATGCATTTTTTTCCCGTAGGTTGCCAATGAATCCTTCACAAGCTATCCTAAGGAATTCAGTACTCCTTTAGAGGCCGAGGTACAATGCTCTAAAGAAGCCCTTGAACATCTTTCTTCCAAGTTGAAAAAAAAGAAGCCACTCTTGTTAGCAAATGACAGGGATATTCTAGAACGGATACCTCCATTGCTTGAAAAACACCCCTACGGTAATCATTTGATTTGAATTCATATGAAATTGGGAAAGAATATAAGTTGTTTTCAGGTATTTGGGCATCACAGCTTGAACTTGTTTATACCGACAAATATAATGAACAGTTGCCGTATGACTGGTTGAAAGTTATCGATAGTAGTCCATGCATTCAAATTCAGAAATCTTCAGAGAAGTACATTTTGAACCACTGTGAACCCGGCGAAGTAAGATTTTCAAAATGCGTACTTTTATAGCTTTCATTGTTGGTGATTTGCAATAACTTAGAATAATGTGAAAACAGTTGGTTTTTCTAGATTTCAGAGTGCTTATGAGCCTTATGACTGTGCCAGTTTGAAAAGCAACACAATAATTGTCCTTTTAACATAGTCTGGTTCACCAGTGAACTAAGGTCGCAGAGAAATATATTAATTTATTTATTTATTTATTTATTCACGGATAACTCCCATTTAATATAAGTTATACAAATATCAGATTGTTAACACTAATCTTATCTAATTTAATTATACTTAATAACAATTTAAACAGTTATAGTAGAGAATTGAAATGAAGCGAGAATAAAAGTAAATGACAGATACTTGCAATTTAAGAATAAGTATATCTTAACTTATTTCTAAGAATATCCTCAGAAATATGAAAGAGATCGAATTTTGTATTATTCCCGTTTGTGACTATTCTTGATAAAGGAGAATGCATTCCATAGTTACACCTATGGTAATCTATTGCAAAGGTTAGATTATTTCGTGTTTTTCTAGAGGGAACATGAAGATTTACTTGGACAAGCAGAGTTGAACAATTAATTCTAAAATTAAGCAATTTATGAAGGAATATAATATCTATATGATCTCTGCGTAAACTAAGTTTCGGTAAACCAGTTACAGACCGAATTTCTGAAAAAGAGTGATCACTGAGAGGTGTAGACAACTTAAAGGCGATATATTTTATAAATTTGTTTTGTACTTTTTCTATAGTGTACTTATGAATTTCATAAGTTGGTGACCAAACACAGCTACAATATTCTGTAATCGATCTAACCAAAGCGAAATACAATAAATTAATAGAATTAATGTTGGTGAAGTCTTTTGTAGTCTTGCATACAAAGCCTAACATTTTCATTGCTTTGCTAGAGATCTGTTCATACTGCAGGTGAAAATCCATTTTGACATCCACTACTACACCAAGATCTTGTATGGATTTCACCGATTTTAATAGTTTGCCTGCAATAGTATACATATTGTTGTAATGAGTAAGTGATCTAGAAAAAGACATACTTTTGTATTTAGACACATTCACATCCATATCATTGTCTACACACCATTAGATATTAAATAGGAATGGCCATAAATGGCTTCCTTGTGGAACTCCTGAGCTAACAGAGATTTGTTGAGATATAAATCCTTTAATTTTTACAACTTGTGTTCAGTTACATAGATAATTTGTGAGCCATTTCAATAAATTCCCAAAGAAACCGATTGCCTCCAATTTTGCACAGAGAATCCTGTGATCAACTGTGTCAAATGCTTTGGAAAAATCTGTGTATATCACATCCACTTGCTGTGGGTATAAAAACTATATGTGATTCAACCAAAGACCCGACGAACTTAAGCGTTTATAAAGATTTCAAAAAAGATTACGAAAAAAATCTAATTCTTGCCAAAAAATTTGCATACGATAAGTATATTCTAGAAGCTGAAAATAAAACAATAGCAAGTTGGTGTTTAATCAATCACGAAAGAAATTCGTGATGCAGAATGATACGACATGAAATATTCAACGCGAACAACATCAGTTTAAATTATCATTGAAGAATTCTTCCAGCGAATAATGAGCTTTGGAGAGAAGCAAAGTTTTCAATTTATTCTTCATGATTATACAAGACAAAGTTCTGAGAAATTCAGGTATCTTGTTATAACTATTAATGATTGAAAGAGGTATATTTTTTTGAAGATAGGTCAAATGTGTCTTTATATTCAAAAGGTTATTTTTGTTTCGTGTGTTGTGGGTATGGTTCCTATCATGAGTCGCAAAAAGAGATATATTTTCTTTGACAAATACCACAGATTCATAAATATAGAGACCTGTTAGTGTTAATATTTTTTTCTCTACGAATATTTTTTACAGCTTTCTCTCTGAGAAAGGTTGAATATTTTTCTGAGACACCGTTTTTGCAATATTAATATTTTTTGTGTATGTGCAGACATTCCCCAGAACATAATGTCATGTCTGATGTGACTCTGAATATAACCATTATATGACAACATCACAGCCTCAGCGGATATATTTTGTGTAATTATTTTCAGGGCAAAGCAGTACCTTGACATTTGGGTTGCCACTTTATCTATGTCACTCTTCCAGTCCAGCTTTGAGTCAATTATAATTCCAAGAAAGGAAAGTTGGGTCACCGATTCTAAAATAGTTACACTGTCACTAAGAGTAATATTTGGGCCGTTTTATGTAAAAGATTTGATTTGTGTCTTTCTTTTGCTCATTTTGAGATTGTGTGATGTAAAGTACTGCTCCAGAATCTTTAGCTTGAAAAATATATTTGCCTGTAGGTAGTTGTGATCGGTTGAACTGAAAACCACAGAACAGTCATCGGCATACTGAACCATGTATTCATCAACAACTTCAGGCACATTGTTATTGCAAAGAATGTATAGTAGTGGGCCCAACACTGACCCCTGGGGTACACCTCTTACAATATATAGCATTTCTGATTTCATTAGATTTCCATCAGTATCTCTTGCAGTAACACATTGCTGTCTATTTTTCAAATAGGATGTAGTTCGAGTGGCAGCCCTCTGATACCGTAGAACGACAGTTTTGTGACCATTAGTCTATGGTCAACACTGTCAAAAGCCTTGGACAAGTCCAGATTGACAGCTGTTGTAGCCTTTTTACTATTAATAGATTCAATTTACATAAAGCTTGATAGTTAGCTCAAGTAGTAGATTTCTTCTAAATCCATTCTGCATATCACTTAGAAGATTTTTATTCTCTAGATACGTGATCAGTCTATTGTATATTATTTTTTCAAAGATTTTACCAACATTTGACAATATTGCAATGGGCCTTCAGTTGATTATTTCATGTTCATTTCCCTTTTTGAAGATAACTTTGGCATGTGCAATTTTAAGATTATCAGGAAAATACCTGTCAAAAATGATAAGTTGATTATGTAGCATATCTCATATGCTACATGTTTCAGTAATTTAGTAGGTATTTCATCTTCATCTAGTGCTTTACTATTTTTTAACTTCAGAACAGTATCATAAACTTCTTTTGAATCTGTTGGGAGAAAGAGTGTCCGAACCAGTAATAGATTTGACCAGATTCCATACTGCCTTGGACTTATTAGTGAATTATTGAATCTAATTTTTATTACGGCGTTGTTTTGCTTCTCTAACTACTTTTTTAAAAATATTGCCAAATCTTTTAAAATGTTGTTTACGTTTGCTTGATGTCTTTATTCCTATAGTAATCCAATCTCTATTTTTCAAGTTGGTGTCTGCTTTACAAGATTTTAGTGAGGTGACTATATTCATTAGTTGTCTGAGGACTCCAGTGAAATAATAAAGTTGATTTGGTTCTTTTTAGGAATAAATTTGATACATGTTGATATTCCTCAATTCATTTTTCAATTGATCAAGCCCAGCGCATCTGAGAATACCCTTTTCTTATTTCATGTATTTGTTTTTTTTGGTTCAATTTTTCCTGATCTTTCAATTCTGAGCATTTGAGTCTCATAATCGGATAATGCAGAGGTAATAACTTCTCCAAGATGATCATTTTCTAAGTTCATAAAAATATTATCCAGTAGTGAAGGTGATCTTGATGTTATTCTTGTCGGTTCATTTAATATAGTTTAATGTTCTTAGCAGCATTATTTCCTGATAAATAAAAAATTTCAATGAGGTGGACATTTCACTTCCAACTAAACTATCCTCCTTGAGAAGGATAGCCTCACCAACAACGGCAATAAACAAGGTAGAACCTTGGATCTTCGGATGATGAGTACCATGTACCACCATTGATGATTTGAGAAAGCGGCCAATGCCAACGGTTAGATGGAAGAGGAAGAAACCACTGGACTACTTGGACTGCAAAGCCAGCCATTGAGAATATTGGATAACTTCCCCGAGAGCATCCGAAATGATTGACTTGTAGTTATGAAAGCTCTGGAAACGCGATTTGAACAACAATAATTGTTTCTATTCATTCTGCACCAGAAGTTTCTTTCATTAACAGTACTCTCGAACCATGAGAATATTGTAGGGCTCAAAGGTGATCGAGATTTAGTAGGTCCTGAGTCGACACCTATCAATACATACTGTTTTGGTAGTTCCGTTAGAGCTTGAGGTCGTAAAAATTGCTTCTGGAAGAAGAAAAATACAGTTGAAAAGCAACTTTTTTTGAAGAATTGACATTGAGAGAGAAAGTGAACTAAATCAATAAATTGAGCGAGATTTTTCTAGAAGAAATGTTGCAACAACTGCAGAAAAGTAGGGCACCGTCAAATGAACTGTTGAAAACCATAATCGAGGGTCACGATATTCATTGTAAATGAAAACATTACAATGATGTCACATACAAACAGTTGCATTTGAATGAAAAATTCGAAGAAAAGGAGCACCAACTAACCGGGAAGGGAAGAATGCTCCTAACAAGGTAGAGCAGTCCATTGATAAAAAACCACCAATATTCGAGAGAAATGGCGCTGAACGCCGAGCTCGGAAAGAAGACAGATGATAAATAGATAGTAAGAAGTGTACATTCATAGATCCAAAAAGAAGCACTTTTCCCGGACACCAAAACTTCAATACTCTTCTAGACGCATATTTCACCAACTAGGTTGATGTCTTCTGGAGATGAAGAACACTGAAACTGGTCTTGTGGAAGTTCACACTAACAGAGTAATTCACAAAAAGGTGAACAATGGGACGTGTTGAATGTGACCCCTGTGTCATTTCCAGACTTCCGAAAGCATCCAAAAATCTACCGATATCAACAGTTTCAGACAGTTTTTAATAATTCAATGGCCGTTCTCCAAGCAACCCTATATTTTTGTGATCTTCGAAATTGGATATGTACTTTGTGTTCTTTGAAACGAGTTTTAATGGCTCGCTCAGTCTGACCGATGTTTTTTTTGCCACAGTCCTCACAGAAAAAAAAATATGGTGAATCTACCGTTTATATTCATAGTATAAAAATTGTTTAATTATTATCACGGATAGTTTTATCAATTTCCTTCAAATCTTAGTTTTAACCGAAGCCATTTTTCTAACTGATATGATAAGTTTTTGAAATGTCAATGTGTTGTATTGCATTATATGCATTTCAAGATAGTTTATATTATGTTCTCTCTCATAATTTTCAAAATGAAATTGATTCATTTTAAAACTAATACGATGAGGAAGATTGATGAATCATGATGAAATTATTCATCCAAGTAAAAGTGTAAAAGTGTTGCTACTCAAACTGGCTTCGATTCCAAATGAAAATGGGTTCAGTATGAGCCCAAAATATCACAATTCACAGTCAAGTGCCTTATTTTCGTTCATTGATATTTACAACTAATGAAATTTTTGTATAACATTCACCAGCGAAATTCATAACATATGGACTGTTTGATTGTGCAGCATGCCCCACAAATAAATCCGACCAATCATCGTGTGTGGCTGTCATGTTCATTAACACTCATCTCACGATGTTGTACAAAAAAAAGTGGCCTAACACATCATCTGCTCCAGAAATTGAATGTTACACAGGGGCAAATTGCTGATCGAATTGCAGCTAACTGAATTTTACGCTATAGCTTATTTTATTTGATGTGAAAGATGCAAAGTAAGCGTTTTTTCAATATATGCAGAACTGTAAAGTGAGTGTTCAGTTCTTAATTTATTCGAGATTTTCTACAAGGAAGGTGTTATGCTTTTTTTCAGAAAAGTTACCATTTTTCGAAACTTTGGCATTCGGATAATATTCATGTATAGAAATTGAAATATCTCTGACTTTATTAAAGCTTTAATAACGTGATTTAATATATGATGATTTAATAAATTTGAACCTGTTTTTTGTACCTTTCATATCAAGTAAAAATTCTCAACTCTGATTCGCTCAGACTTTTCAGTGGTTGCTACACGCAAAAAAATTCAGCCGGATGCAATTTTGTCAGCAATAGAAGTCTAACAGTTCCGAATTAATATGTGATGTCTTCATCTGCTTGGATTGCTTTGGGCTAACCTACTTAACAAAGAATGTATTTCTAACATATAGGTCTTACAGAAAGAACAACAGAGGAAACTATTAGCAAACTTGGCAGATGTTTCAGTACCTGCAAACACTGTTTCATTTGTCGAAGATGGCAAATTATTTGCCGAAGTTACTTGTGTTATAGCCGCAAACGAAATTTGGTGCAGGCAGTGTGGAACAGAAGAATGTGTGAGTTGATTTTTTCCAAGTTTTCGTTCAGTAGTTATCGATTATTTTTTATAGACTAAATTCAACCAAATGGAGGCTGATATGGAGAAATTTTACACAAACCATAAAGACAATCATAGAGTAGCTGAAGTTACACCTGAAAGTTACTACGTTACACAAATCGAAAACTTTTGGTATAGGATACGAGCAATTACGAATGTTGAGGGTGAAGTGTCCTGTTTCCTTATCGATTATGGAGATGAAATGATTGTACCGATCGATAAAGTCTATGAACTCCGAAAAGAATTCGCTTTGTCACAGGCGCAGGTACCTTTTTGTAATTTTTTTTTAAATCACTACAGACCGAATATTTTTCTTATTTTGTAGGCTTTCGTTTGTCGGCTGTTTGGCCTTGAGGATTTATATGAAATTTCCGCTTCCTCTGTAGTGCTTCAACAAATATTATATACTTTCGTAACTTTGGAATTGGCTAGTGATAACGTAGGTGAGTAAGCTTTAACGTACAATTGACATATGAATAATTTTTGCATTGTTGTGAGTTTATTCTCCAAAACGGTAGAGGTGTAACTGTGTCTTCAGTCAGATTTTTTGGGTTGAAGTGATTGGGAAGATTATTGGCCACCAAAATCACCGGACTTATCTCCAATGGACTTTTTTCTATGGGGTTATCTGAAACAAAAAGTGTATAGGCACAGACCATTTGCAAACAAAGAACATTTAGAGAATGCCATTCGGTAGTGTTGTGCTAACAAAAATCCCCTATTTTTTGAAAATGGCACAAAATCTGAATGAAAGGACTATAATTTTTATAGAACGGGAATAACGGCATACTCTATGATGGATTCGGGTACTCTTCAAGATTATTGATACATCAATGATGTTACGATGTTATTAATTTGTTTACAGTTATTTTAGTTTGATTTTTTTTTATACATCTGCAGCCAAACTCTTGGTGAAAAATATGAAATGGGATACAAATAAAAAAAAATAGGAGTATAATAAGATTAAAGAATTATTCAATTACTGACATTAACATCTATACACTGAAAATCATAATCTATCTCAATAAACTTTGCAAACAACAAAGACGAATTTCTGGAGATGCATTTTTTTCTGATAACAGGCCGTAATAATAATTCTGTTTTGCCAATTGTAAATACGAATAACTTCTGTTTTGTCTGCATTGAAGAATAAATCATTGTTATTGAAGTAATTTGATTTCCTGCTCACTATTCAGGCACAATTGCTTTCTAATAATTTTGTATATGATGCAGATATAACTAGCAAAAAGTAATCTAAATAAATGGATACCAGATATGTTACTCATAGAGATGTCATTCATGTATAGCAGAAATAGAATAGGGCCTAACACAGAACCCTGTGGTACACCAGATTCAATGGCCCTGTTTTCCGAGAGTTCCGTTTTCCTCACCATTTGACTCCGACCTGAAAGCTACGATTCGAACCAAGTATTCGTTACACCTCTACATCCATATTTATGACTCTATAGATTTCATTTTTTCTGTTGACTTGTACTGACACAAATTGTTTTCTATTTTTGAAGAAGTCCGCCAACTCTTATACCATGCATTTCTGATTTTATATTTTCACTCTATATGTGACACTGTATGTTTTTCGCGAACACCAATATTTTTCAGTTTTTCAATTTGAAGATGATTTCTAAAAAAAGTTTCGTTTTCAGTTAAAAATGATATTATTCCTGTTTATATGTACGACCTTGAAACAGGAACGTCAGTAAATGAGGATATGATACATCGAATAGCCATAGAATCTGCACTTCCCGTTCTCCAAAATGTAAGTTCCAGTATGCTCGTCATAAATCCATATTTTTTAAAACTTTTTTTCAAAAGGGAATGATTACGGAAGTCTTCGTTTCCAATATCGAGAATGATGGAGATATATATGTTCAACTCCGTTCGCCCGGTTATTTTAGTCTCCAAACACTTCTGGAGGATCTTGAAAAACAAATTACGTCAGACCCTCCCACTCATTTGATAAGGCCAGTGACGAAACGTGATAGCGAGGGAAAGTTTTATTTTGGCAAGAACAAATTTGATGGTCGTTGGCACAGGATCGAATTGATCGACTGGGCTCCAAACGAGGAATTGGCCCAGATACATTTCATTGATTATGGCCACACAGACGTCATCAATGTGAAGGATGAAATTTTGTATCCGTTAGAAACGCTGAGTGATATTTTGAGTCAGTATCCACCACAGGCAGTCAGAGTGAGTTATACTATTTATCTTGTTCGATTGATTACCTATTTATTTTGTAGAAATTTATATTGACTATACGACCGGTTTTACGACCGGTTGTTTTACGACCGGTTTCAGTTTATTAGACCATTTTGAATATGGTCTAATAAACCGAAATCGATTGTAACAAATAGAAAACTTAGAAGAAATTAGACAAAAGTTTTTTTATCCTATAGTGTTGGTCCACTAAGTCTGCAACAAATGGGAAACTTTTTTATTATCGATTTCTCAGAAAATTTTATTCTTGACAAAAGTTGGTGCATGTTACAAAACTATACCAAGTGTACTTGAAATGGCTTTATGACAAACACCATACAGGATAGGCCAAAAAATATAGAAATATGTTGAAGAGAAAGGTTGCTTAGAATTAAAGTTATGTTCAGATACGAAGTGATGGCCTGCTATTCGAATTTTTTTTTTCCTTAGGAAAATTTTGAATTACCCCCGTATGATACATATTTTTACTATTTTGATTTAATTTGTATTTGAAGTAGCCACAATCAAATCACTTTGGAGTATTTTTTATCAAATTAAAGTGTATTTGTAAAATTTACTTGGATTTGTATTTTTTAGGTGACCGTCAACTTCATGTTTGTTGCAACGATATTTAACAGAACTCTAGAATGAAACAAATACTCTTAATATAGTTTCTATATCTGACGAGTTCATCACGTGAGGCAGGTCGTTGATATAGATTAGAAACAGAAGAGACCCCAATATTGACCCTTGTGGCACTCCTCTTGATATTTTTCTTTTTTCACTTTTGGTATTTCCTAGATCATGTTACTAAATTGTTAGGATTCTCATAGGTGTTCACATGACTCAACAAATCCAGTTTTATAATGCTACCCATAGATAGTTAGATAGAATGTTTTATTTATCTTTTTGATCATATTTCACAATGGCGTGAGACAAGGGCGATTTCTTACCATACACGTACAGAACATAAAAATATACATATTGAATGTGTTGGTTTGTAGACCCCTGATTTGTTATAATAATAATAGTAATAACTCGACTTTCATTGAGGATAAATAACAAATAGTAAATAAATAAATAATGAGACTGATTGTGCATAAAACTATTTCGGTAATTAAGAGTGCATACTTATGAGAAGAAATATGATGGAATTGGCCTATACTTGATGAAAATTCATAACTAACGTATTCAAAACACACTTTATTCTGAAATTTTCACTAAACAGTTTTACAAAAACACAACAAGTGATATTGTTTCAAGTTCAGAGGGATTTTGATCATGCCCTAAAATTGTAGTGTCATCAGTGAATAGTATGAACTCACCTTTAATATCAATAGATATCGGATCCATTATATATAAAAGGAATAATAGTGGACCAAGGACTGAGCCTTGAGGAACTCCACAGTTTGTTTTTATTTCCTCAGAATAACTGGTCTTTTCAACAATTTGACTACGCTCAGATAAATAGGATTTGAACCACAATTGAGACTTACACCTCTTTTTCTATACTGTTATACTTTCCAAAGCAGTATACCATGACTAACAGTCCAACCCCTTAAATATGTCACAAAACGCAGCAGCTGCATAAGTCTGCACTATACATTTTGTCACAAATTAGGATTCTACATACTAAAGTTTATATAGGAGAGACTAAGAAATTTCAAAACTAGAATCTCCAAATATAAACTAGACAGTTTACAAAACGGAAACACGTGTTTTGCTATGCACTAGCTTTATAAAGAGTTTTCATCTTTGGTTTTAGTAACATTAGTTGTTAGAAATCCTCACGTAAACATAATCAATGTAGGACTTTAAAAAATTTCAAAACTAGAATTGTGAAATGTCCACTAGACAGTTTACAAAACCGCAACACTTATTTTGCTGTACAACAGCTTTGTGAAACTTTTATTGAAACTGGTATATTTTTAGGGGAGATTAATTTTTGGTTCTAGTAACATCAGTTGTTGGAAATCCTTCTGTAAACATGGTCAGTATCCTTCTCCAAATAACCTTATGAAGTGTTTGAGTTTTTCTTGGATATGGGGATTGTAATTGTCATTATAAAAAAAAAATGTTGTTCCTCCTATTCTGAGAAACATATGTTTGTTTTTTGCGATCATTCAAAAATTCAAGTTGTTAATAGTAGATATAGTAGGCGATCAATTTCGAATTTCCCCGAAATATTTGTCATTAAAAGGAAATCTGGAAGTGTTCAGTTTGAAGTAAAAGTAACCTCCATTTTTTTAGGTTAAAATGGCAATGGACAGCGATATACCAGAGAACTTTGTATCACTCGCCAAGAAGGCCATGCCCGAAAACAACCCCGTCCTTCTAAAAATAATAAGAGAAGACGAAAACGAACGTTTTGCCGAATTTTTCAAACGAAATACAGATGGCGGACTTTTCTGTATTAATAAATCTATCACAATGGAAGTCGAAATGAAGTATGCATAAGTTCATCTCATATTTTTCCTCTTTACCCAACTTGTTTTTGTTATAGGAAGGAAGATATCAAAAGCAAAACTCTCAGGAGAAATCCCCTACACTGGGAAGGAGCTAACAGTTAGTAGAAGAAATATTAGTTGTCGAATACAAAACTTATTTGATGAATGTTTTCCAGAGAATGTTCCGTCCGGTGGAAAATTGAAATCTCCGAAAATTCCAGAGAAGCAGGAATATTTTGAAGTGCACGTTTCCCTTGCAGTGAGCCCTTACAATTTTTTTGTACAGCCCTTAGAATCTCAGAGCAAATTACATCAGTTGATGGAGCAATTGCAGGAAAGGTACAAAGAGGTGTTGTACAGCCCTTTGTCAACGGATCAGATCATTCCTGGCAATATATATGCTTCAAAGTTTGATGATGGGAACTGGTACAGGTATGAGTTGAGATATAATAACTTTAATAAATACTTTTATTAAAAGGTTACTCAGTACAAGGGATACTAACCTAACATAACAAATGGCAGAACTCAACATCTGCACATGATAAATGAAGGCAGAAATTGCTCTTCCATATATCTAGCAATTCAGGAATAGTGTCAGAGGTATCCGGCTTAATGAAGAAGACACAGATTTCCCCTTTTACCTTCTAGTCATTTTTTATGTTCTGGAAAAGAACACAAAAGGGGCAAAATCTGGCAAATGGCGAGAAATCAAATGACTGACATTTGTATTCAGTAGCGTGAACCACATTCTTTATAAAGAATGTTGATACCGAAAAGCCAGAAAAATGTACTCAGTTTTCAAGTCAGTACATTATGTATACTAGTAAGATATTTTACTTTTAAGAGATGCGAGATAATGTAAAGGTATTTTATAAAACCGATTTCATATGTCAGTTTGTGCGAAACATTTCAAAGATGAACATTTTTTTAAACAGTTTCATATGTTTTCTCAACTCATTATTCATATTATATATCTTCAAGAAATTCATTATTCTAGAAAATACACAACTGAAGTTATCTTTCGCGCTTATTTCTAAAGTATCGCTCAATTTATTGGCGACTTATCGAATATGTCAAAGAAAAATATTACAAGAACTAAATAAATAAGTCTGACAAGATTGAAGAAACTTGGCAAATAATCCCAACACCAAACTGTTATTTTAAACACCTCGACTCGTGTTTCAATCACCAAGTGATAATCTTCAAGAGGAAGGTCTAGTTCAATATTCCTCTTGAAATTAATTACTTTCTTCCTTTTTTTGGAAGATTCCAACACTTTAGTTTGAAGATGGAGAAGTAGAAAGCCAACACCTTTTATTCCCAATTGAAAGTATTCAACACTTTTTTCCATGTTTACAAATGATGTAAAAGCATGTAAAATCAATTATGATGGCTGTTAAACGATTACTAAGCAAATGTACAAGATTATGGTATAACATAGTTTGCCAACTCGCTCAAAGGAAAACACAGTTTCTATTTTCTTTGCCTGGTTTGGTGTTCCAAAATACACACATCGGAAAAGTCTAGGAATATTTTTAAAAATGGCAATAATTTTTTTTTAGAT